AAATTTCCCATAAGTGAAGGGACACATTGATACAGGGTAACCTTATCCGCAAAAGTGAATGTGCTGCTTATGGAAGTACGTATAGTTCAGTTCTAGTTTTAAATGAATTGCCGAAACAATATAGTACAACAGTCCGAGAATAGAGATGGAAAAACCTTATCACCGTCTGCCGCGTTTTCGGCACAAATGGAATTTATATCCACATCTGTTGCGTATGGAAAAAATGTGTAGCTGTAAATACTATGTGTGGGGGAATAGGAAAATAGGGGAAATAAACGCTCTGTTGGTTTCACTACAGTGCTGCCACAACAACGAATGTGCCGCATGGCGCCTCCTCACTTTGCAATTCTAATCGGGCTGTCGAAATCTTTGAGCCTCATATAACCGAAACGGCAATCGGAGTCGAGCCCAGTCGAGTCGAGCGGTGAAATTCAAGCGAAAAGCCCAACCAAAAGTTAGACCTAGACAAAAGCCAGGCAACCAGGCAACAGCCGGGCCGCAAAGAAACAAAAACCTTCCAGCAAATGGGTGTCGAAAAATTGGAGAAAAACTGAAGATGAAGCTGAAGCCAGTGCGAGGGTTTCAAGACTCTCATCATGGTCAGTGGTATCGAAAAAGACGCTGATTTTGAATGCTTGAACAAATAATCAAAAGAGATGACATTGAGCCCATTCGTAGGTTCAATAATAAAAGTGAATTACACATTTTACTGCTCACATGATTACAAAGCCAGAGACAATCTCAACAGCAGATTGCTGCACTTTTGTTTTATAAATATTGCTGATGTATTATCTATCTCTCAGGGATTTTTTTGCGCCAATGAAACATTGTGGGTAAATTGTTATTGTGAATCAGACGGTATATTTTCAAGGAGAGCTATGTACAAGTATTTTACAATTAATTATTTTAATGATAAAAATAGTTACAAAATATTTTCTGCACAGACCGCAAGGGTCAAAAGAGTTCTGATATATTATAAGGAATAACTACTAATCAGTTACTAATCAGAACTTCATACGCTTGTAATTTGCTGATTGAACGATTCGGTGATAGAAGGGTCACAAGTGTTGTAAAACGTCACCTAGTGTTGGTTTCTTACTCTTCTTTTATTCTCTTTGTTCAGTACAGTTATATTTCTGGCAGATAATTGGATTTGTTTAAACTTTTATGAAATGATAACTTATGGAGTATGCCCAACCCTTTTTCGAGACGCACACTCATAATTTTTACAAGCTGACTCTCGACGCAATGCGGATTTCTGTGCTCCTTTTTTTTTGCGGCTAAAAGAATGACCTGCTTCTGATTAGCCGCCGCACGGAGGAACAAAACTTTCAATTTTTGACACAAAAAGAATCGACCGACAAAAAACAAAAAGGGGAACAAACACCTTTAAGCGACTTCTTCTTCTGCGGAACTCGTTTGTATAATTTAGAAACCTTGAAAACAGCATTTCGTGTATTGTTTTTAAGCCAGTGCCCATGGATATGATGGGAACTGGTTTTGTTTTTGTGAGTCTTTTTTTTTTTTTTATGTGACTTCTCGAGCTGTTTTCGAGTTAACGAATTGCACGGCACGGCAAACATCGATTAGATTTAAGAGAGAGAGAAATTTGGGGGAGGTTTGGGTTGGTCTGGGCTGGGGCTTGCAACATTTGGAGTCCAACAAGAGTTTTTCCTTTTGTTTTTTGCCTATCAGCCGACAGTTGTCGCTCGAACACTATTTATAGTCTTGTTTTGGTTTGTATTTCTTTCTATTTGTTGAAACATTTTCACCCAACACAAAGCTGGAATGGTCTACGGCGACGGTCGACGGACCGGGGATCTGTCTGTCACGTTTATCGATTTGCAGTTCGAAATGTTTTTAATTTATTTTTCCCCAGCCACTTACAAGTGTGTGCCCGTGCCCTGCCTTTCCCATGTTCTCTAGCGTTTTCCTTTCTAATTAGGTAAATTAAAAATATATCTCGGGATCGGCTACACATATACATATACAATGTGTGGCACATCGCGACTCACATTTCAAAATTCACCGAGAGAGCACACTAGAACGATTTCTTGGAAATGTTTTTCGTAAAAGCTTTCGACCATAAGAAAATCGCACTGCAGCAGAAGACGTTGCCTGTTCTTATGGCGCAACAATTTCGAAACCCAAATACAGCGAATCATATGTGGAAAGACATCTGCGGAGCCCCAGTTTATGCGTCCTTTCAATAGAGATTTCACTGTAATAATGAACAGTGGCAGGGAGGGCAACAAGTTGTCTAGAAGGGAACAATTTGGCATAGGAAAAGTTATTGAAATAAGTCAAGAAGAAAGGTCAATGGTCGATGATTCGGTGCCTCAGAGAATGGCTTACAATCAGTAAAACAATCTTTATTTTGAGGACACTTTCCTAAGGCGGAAACAGTAATGGAACACTCCATTTACTTCCTAGAAACCGCTTTTAAGAACCCATCTGGGTGCACATACTCTTATCTCCGACTTAAACTCAGTAAATACCACAATTCTTTTTAAAACATCTGTTTTTTTATTGTAGTTTTTTGTTGCCACACTTGCTGTAAATATTGCGCATACGCAACGTGGCACCCCAAGCATTCACTCACCTGCAGAGGCACAGCTTGCAGATGCTTCCGAAGCTGCGGCCCTTGCTCCGTCGGCGGTTGTTCTGGTAGAAGACGGTGGCCGAGCCGTTCTCCGGATCGATGACGGTGCTGTGTGTCCCGTTGCCAAGATCGCTTGCAACTCCCGCACTGTCGCCCACACCTGTGGCCGCACCCCCGCTGGGGCCGGAAGCAGCGGAACCAGCAACAGCGCTGCCACCCGCTGACGTCTGCGTTAATTGCGCCAGTTTCGAAACACTGCTGCTGCTGTTCGAGTATTTCGCGCGCTCGCGACTTCGCTCATTTCTATAACGTATTTGTCCGGCGGCAGAGCCAAGACTGTGCCCAAAGAGATTCCCCAGAAAGCTGCCGCCGCCGCCGCTGCTGCTGTTGACGACACCGCTATAACCAGTTGAGCTTTTGCGGTGTCTGCCCCTGCTGTTGTTTTTGCTGTTGCTCTTGATGCTGCTGCTGGCGGCAGCGAAGCTCGCGGTCCGTACGTCTCTGCGTATGAGTAATTCTGTCTCAGAGTCGGTTTCGCTCTCTTCGTCAAAGTCTCGTAGCGGCACATTGTTTTCAGCCATCTTAAGAGAGCGAAAGAGAGTTTACACAGGTGTTTTTGTTGTTGCTTGGCTGCGCGCCTGCCTCAAATAGGGGAATTTTGATGTTTTGCCTTTAACCTAATTGTAAATATGCATTGCATTTGCTTATATATTTTATGATTTCGAAGTCGATTCAGTCTGTTGATTTCAAATATTTCTCTGCCACGTTTCCCCTGAGAGACCCCCCTCAAGGCGCTATTCACGTGCTGGAAGTAGTCTGCTCCTTATCAGCCTGCCGCCTCTCTCGATTTGTTTGAACGGTAAACATGTGGGTGTGTGTTTGTCATAAAACCGTAAATTCCATCTATCAACAAAACACCTTTATTTCGTAGTGGTGTTGCACGATTAAAACACTTCTTATCATCAGAAACGGTTGCCGGCTACCATTCGTCACTATAAACGCCAGTGATACCGAACAATCGAACGCCCGACTACATGATTTTTTGTTAATAAACTCGTAAACTCCAAAGGCCATTGGCAAACACACACAGCCAACACACACCCGCGAGAGCTCCCACACACACACACTGCAATAAAAACTTTTCTTCCGCTTCTTCACATTTCGTCAACATTTACGCTTGGGGTTTACTTTATTTATTTTTAAGAGCGAATTGCACATTTTACTGTAACTTTTCTGTTGTTTTTGTGACACGTTTTTGTTTTTTTTTTAAATATACCGAAGTACGTCACAAATTTCAAAATATACCGTAAATATACTGACGAATTATTTCTATTCAAGTTGCATCATATTCCTCGTTTTGGATATTCGGTTGAATATTACTAGCTAGCTAAAACCCTCAGGTCTGAACTCAAATTTTTATCCGATTATTAAATCAATTTCCTACAAGACTTCCTAAACTTAAGTTTTCGTCTATACTGCATTGCTTGAAATAAGGTTAAAACAAACAACAATTTCCACTAAATTCATTTCCTTGCATGGTAAATACACGTTCAACACACATTTGCTAAATATTAACTACATTTTTGAGTAATTATCAGGAGCGACACCTGAAGGGGAAATGTGTACGTTTCAAAATTGTTTGCCCGTTTTTTTCATATAAACCACATGGAAGCGCCAGTGTGAAAACCTGCACAGGAGAGTAAAGCCATAATGCGTCTTAAAATACCTGAAAATACTATGAGATGTGTGCAATTTGCGAGATGTGTGGGAAAGAATATCAGTGTGACCTGACTTCGCTATAAAATATACGGTCTGACCCGCAGAAATATACCGTCCTATTTTCTAAATATACCGTAAATATACTGTCGAATTATTTAAGTTCCATCATACATATTCTGCGTTTTTGATATTCCGTCAAATATTACTAGCTAGATAGAACCTTCAAGTCTGCCTACACAATTTTATTACATTGATGAATACATTTTTCACAAGATATGCTACTTTTAAGAACTCCTTTTTATTGTATTGCGTCTAAAACAAGGTTTAAGCAAAAAGATCCTCAAAAACAAAGTGGCATTTGAAGACTTGTTGCTTGTCAACCGAAGTATGGACATTTGTATACCCCTTTTCGTAATAATATTAAAGAACTGCTCTTCATGCTTCCTTGTTGCTACTGCTATATCGTTTTCACAGATTCTCATGTTTTTGACATATTACTGCACTTGATCTGTTTTCTGTATATATATCCTGATCCCGATTCAACTATTAAATAGTTGAATGAGGATAAAAAATGAAACCTGCTAACAGTACACAGCACTGATTGGCGGTAAGTTTACATTCAAATTTAAACCAAGAATTAAGATTGAAGCATCAACAAATTTGTATAAAAAGTTTAATGTTTATTTATAGCTTAGTTTAGCAGAAAAAACAATAAACGGCCATTTACATAGAGATCTTAGACTACTAAAAATAATATGCACACAGTAGACGCGGTCCGTATTTTGGGCTGTTCTCAAAGCAATCACACATCCGATCTAATAATAATTTAAAGGAGAACAAATGTGTTTCAACTAATACAATCACTTTGGGATACAGCTGTGCAGATTGCTTTGATTTTTGGGGGGCTTTAATCGCTAGGCTATGGTACGGGGAGTATGGGTGTTTAAATACGAGTATAGACGCTCGATACATCAGATATATTGGTATGGTGCTCCCCATTCAGCTGCGCTCCGTTTGGAGGGCTATGTTTGAGTCCGAATTGGAATAGTTGTGCTCCAATCTGGGTCGAAATTCATCCTCGCCATCCGAGTAGGAACCCACTGAACGACAAATGCTATAAAGATATCATTATTAGTGGTCCCTCTATAACTTTATTTATCATACCGCTGCGTTGACGCATAACCCTCGATGGCCAGAGCCTGACTCACGCCCGGTGGCAGCAGCTGCTGGAGCAGGGCATCTTTGGCCGCATTTGCGGTGGTGGGCAGCGCCACATGATTCATGTCCACCGATGAATGGGACTGGGACAAGTGCGCGTTCGCCGGGGTTGTCAGACCATTTACCAGTCGCGTCCTGCCACTGTCCGTCTCGTCGCCCCTCTGGGTGCGTTCGATATATCGCAAGGTGCTGAACAGCTCCAGGAGATTTCCGAAGGTGTTGCGCAGATCACAGTGACCGATAATGTCGAAGCATAGCTGGGAGACGTTCTGACGCAGCAGGTAGATGGCATATTTGGTCTGTTGGGACGGCAGAACGGAGCGCGTATAGAGGGGGAACCTGATCGAAAGAGGGGCATCATTTCAAGATAGGAATACTTTTCAAATACGACACCTGCACTTACTCTCTTGTGGTGTAGGTTAGTTCTTTGATCTCGTCCACAATCCTCGATTTCGAGGGCTCGTAGAGGATGCGGTTCCGCAGGGGCCTGTCCATGATAATGGCCAGCATCTGCACTAGATGAGCCACATAGCCGAGTGCCGCACTCACCGCCAGCGGTGAGACATTCTCAAGGACCTGGGCATTGGCCGCCTGCCGCGAATCACTTGTGTACTGCTCCATGTGGGGGAACGCAATTCCGCAAATGCTGAGCTGCTGACCCCCGCCCACGCTCTGGATGTTGTAGATCTCCTGCAGCTCCAGCACCAAAGTCGACATGCGCCGTTCCATCTGCCGCATAATCTGGCGTCGCTGATCCCGCTGAGCCAGGTGCTGGGGCTGCAGCAACTGCAGCTCTAGGCGTTCTTTCTCGAGGTGATGCCGCTGCCTGTGCAACTTCTGCTGCAGGGCTTCCTTTCTCTCAGCCAGTGCCTCCAGACGAAGGGTGGCTTTCTCGTTTCGCTGCTGGCAGGTTTCGCGCTCCGCTTGGAGCAGCCGCTGCTTGCAGCGCAGACCTTCAATCTGCTTGGTGAGCTGCTGGGCATTGTACAGCGCCAGGGGGGCAATCTGCTGTTGCTCGGCCAGCAGAACGCTGAGCGTACGCCCCATGGAATGGTGAATGTGGTGGGAGTGGTCTCCGGATAGGGATGTGGTGCGGGGCTTGAGCCGCAGCTCGTTCCTGGTGACGCAGTGAACGCTCAGGCGAGCAATCTCCTTGCCGATCTCAGTCATGTGGCGCAGCTTCTGCTGCTGCAGTCGTTGCAGGCGCTGCAGCAAGAGCAGCTTGTCCAGGTTGTAGCTGCGGCGAATCTCCTGCCGATGGCACTTCAGTTGGACGTGCCGCATCGTGCTCATTTTCAGGACGGGACTCGCGCTGCGACTGGTGTTGGGAGAGTTGATGCCGAGCTGGTCCTTCGGCTGCTCCTCCTTCTCCTCCTCCCCGTAATTCTGATAGTGCAGATGCAGCTGCGCATGCAGGCCCTGCTCGCTGATCATCGACGGGGACACAAACTGTTCGCCATTCATTTGGAAAATCAAACAGTTCTGGCCGCACTGGGCAATCGTTAGAGGAGCCAGGGGTATCAGGCCGGAGAAGTATACGCCCCAGCTGAACAGCAGTTCGGGGCGTCTCCCATGCTCCCTGAAAGGCGAAAGCGTTACGGAACTGGCCGACAACCTTGAACGAACCTCTCGCTTACCCGCACATGTCCTTCGTCCTATCGTCAGTCTCACTTGTTTGGCCAACAGATCGCTTGGCTGCCGGACAGTGCTTCCACACCTTGACGCACACACACTGCGCATTAGATTTCCGCCAGGCATCGCCGTCTGCACCGATCTCCGCCCACTTTTGCTGCTGATGGCGCTGCGGCAGCCGCTCGCTCGTGTAGAGTGCTTCACTAGCCTTATCTGTGTGAAGCGTATAGTAAAGCAACACGTCCTCCGAATCCGCCTCAGCTTCCACTTCCGCCTCCGTCACTCCACTCAATTGGCGGCACACAATGTTGAATCCCTGGATACGCGTCAGGTTGCGGAGACGGAGCTGCTGCGTTGCCAGCGGCAACCATTTGCGGCAGCGCGGCCGCAGATTCATTGCAATTGTGGATTGAGGGGTGGATGCCGGTTACGCTGTCACGGTACCTGTAGTACCCAGTACATTGCTCACCAAATTAAGTTTTTGTAGTAGTTTTTTCGCAAGGACTTTCAACAAAAAAACCACTATTCGCGAAACAGCTGTTTGCTGGACCAGTAAGTGTTGGTAAACGGTTCGTCTTTTAAACTATCGAAGACATTATTGATATAGGGAATACCCATAATAATTGTTGTTTTTATTAGCTAACAAAAATCATACAAAATTTAATAGTGCGACTCCTCACTTTAAGAAAGGAGGGACACTGTCACCTGGCATATAACATTAAGAAGCTAAACCAGTAGAAATGGACACCTGATAGACACCAAAACATCAATATATTGCGTTGCAGTAACAATAATAATAATACTTTAATCGCTCGTGTTCTACAAAAGTATGTATTTATACTACATATATCGGTATATAATGATATATTTAATCAATTTTCTTTTTTAAAGGTGTATTCAATAACATATGGTATAAAAAACCTCCTCGTCCTGTACCTCGTAATATTATACCGAGGTGCCTTCCTTTATACCTTTCAAGTGTTATACTTTTCATATTATTTTCCAACAGCAACATGTTTTGCAATTCCTTTTTGACGATTTTCATTGGCTGGAAGCAAAAATCGCGTCGTCCGTTTTAACCATTTATTTGGCGTTATATTTGAAAAAACTAAGTTTATATGTTGCTGCTGCAACATGGAAAAAACATACCCTAGGGAAGGATATTATGGAATTAGGAAATGCCAGGCAAATATACAAAAATATATGTATTTCAAATTCATGAATAGGCCAAAAAAGTGCAATCTAAGACAAGGTCTTTATTAATTTCGTTTGATAGCAGCTTGAAAAAATATACAACGCCCATACTTTTGTTGACAAGAAATAAGTCTTCAAGTACCATTAAATATGACGACACAACTTTGCTACTGTTTTTTTTGTTGAAACCGTGTTTTTGTCAAAATAAAATGCATGAGAGTACTTAAAAATAGTTAATCTTGAACAAAATGAATTAGTCAATCATACAAAAATTATGTGGGCAAAGCTAAGAAACCTGAAACCTTTTTTTAGACAACATCCAATAAAAGCAAGTATTTAAAACAAGCCAGTTAAGTAAAAAATAGATTCATCAATCGTATAAAATTAAGTGGGCATGGCAAAATGTTCTATATAGATAGTAATATTCGACGGAATATCAAAATAATAATTATTAATAATAGAGCTTGAACTCGTCAGTATATTTACGGTATATTCTTAAAATGATACCGTATATTTTGGTATATTTCTGAGTGTCGGACGGTATATTCTATTGATAAATCTGCGGTCACACTGCCACATCGTTTTATTGAATTGTTTGTACATTTTTAACGAAAAAATCAAGAAAAATGCCTGCCGTGGTGCGTATTAAACGGCGTATTGATGAAGAACCACACACGGCCTTTGTGCTGAACGGGAAACGGCGACGACTGCACAACGATGAGAATTCCTTGGCCACAGCACAAGTACTGCCGGGGGCGGATCCGACTGCAGCCGCCGCAGACAAAGACGAGCTAACAACCGTGCTGAAATTTGCCGGCACTCTGGCAAAGCAGGTGAGTGGATACATGAGGTATAGATATTTAGTAGATCTAAAGGTTTCGGTCTGCTTTTTGGTAGGATGACAGCGCCACAAAACAATTTGCAGCGGCGCGACTCAACAAAGCCACGGCCAAGGAGTTGGTACAGCAGAAATCCAATGATGCGGCCATTGCCAGTGCTCTGCGCAGGGACAGGCAACGCCAGGAGGCACAACAAACCACACGCGAGCAACGTTTCCGTGTCGTAAACTGTTTAAGGACCACACTCGATGACACCAATGAGAGCGAGGGTGCGGTAGGCGGCAGCAGTACAGATGAAGCTTCACAGATCACAATTCTGGATATAGAATCACAGCAGCAGCAGCAGCAACGTACAGAAACAGCAGCAGCAGGAGGACAGCTAGCAGAGGATGAGCAACTGCAGCCGGGAGGAGGCCTCCTACAGCAGGATCAACAACAGCCAGCAGATTCGGATATTGGCTATGTCTACGATTTATATGTACCCGAGAATGAGATGCAGGCGGCCTATGTCGATATGATGGATGACAATTATCTAAGGTTCGTCATACACATTGAACCACATGAGCAAACGTTTAGCATCACGAATACCTTTATGTAGAGCGGATAAGCCATCGTCATTCTCCATTTCCGTTTCCGGTTATGGCTGTTTGTATTTGTAGGTGCTTGATTGTGTGTGTGTGTGTGTGTGTGTATATATGTGGGTGGTGTGTGTGTGTGTGCCTCCTCCCCCGCTCCTGTTCGTTGGGTGGTGTATTTTGTAGTCCTCGTGGCAGTCGTTTCATTTATGCATTTATCCAATAATTTTAATGTTAATTCAAAAAAAAGCTAACAAACAATCATGTCTACTGCTCAATAATCCACCCATACTCCGTATCGATTCCGTTCTCTATAAAAGGTTAAATTATCCGTTTAATTACTACTACACCTGCTACTGGTAGGACACAGCTCAACTTGCCACAGAGAGAGCCTTGCCACAAAGAGAGACAGAGAGAGCGAGAGGCCAACTGCAGAAACAAAACCCCCATCCAAAGAAAGAAAGGACTGCCACACACGACCACAGCTCCTGTGGGCGCCCACTAATATGACAAAAAGTGCTTAAAATTCTATCGATTGATTGGTTTATAATTCATTAGATATATGAGATATGAATGTACGAATATGTATGGTGCAGTCAATGCACAGCAGGCGGCTGAGCCTTCTATGACGAAGGGGAATGCCAAGTATTTAGCGGAATATATGATTATGAAGGAGCCAGATGGATCTACGTAGAAACAGAATCTTCTTGATCTTCAGATACTTAAAAGGAAATGACTCTATGTTGACGAAAAAACAAAACTGATCCCTCAATTCGTCGAAGGAGCACTGCTTGATCTTAGATGATAGATACATCTATAAGCAGGAAATGCATTTATAATCAAAATAATCTGCTTGCTGAAAACATCACTAAACATTTTGTAGATAAAGTCGTTCAGAGACACGAAGACGCATCTATTTTGAAACATGACTGCTTGATCCTTAAGTAAACATCAGATTTAGAAAAAGACGTATCTGCATATACCGAAAGAGATCGCCTTGATCCTCAAATGAAATCAAGCAGTAAAAGAAACGATTCTATACTTGAGTTGTGCGGAAAATAACACTGTGGTCCTTAGAAAACTCTTTGTTCTTGTTGTAGAAACGTGCTACTGCAACCTAAAGATTTAATGGATCTAAATTCAGCGAGAACAAATATAGCATAGCTCTATACTCTTTGGGTATCGGAAATACAAGATCGTAGAAAACCCCTTGATTTTCCCTAAGATTAAAAGAGGTTAAAGTGGAAAATGCATCTATAACATTAAAAAATTAAACTATAATCTTTGAGTACTGGGTATAATTATATTATAAAAATCAAAAATACGTCTAAGAAATCTAGGAAAAATTCCATAAGTTTCGTATACACAAGAGGAAGATTCATCTATTATATGGAACAATCATCTGACCAATTTTGAGAACATTTTCAAAGGGCAAAATAAATTGCTGGAATGCAAAAAGTTGTTCCCCAAACCTAAGAAATAATATAAATTGACTTAAGTGCAATCCGTAAGAGGACAAGGCATCTCTTCGATGTGAAAGATAATTCCTAGAAGGCAAGTCCCCGCCCCAAAGTATCGCTATTATGGAGAAGCATAAAACTAAGCTAAGAACTTAATAGAAAATCCCATAAATGTCCCAAATCTTTAGTGCCAAAGTTCCATAAAATGTAAAGAAATTAGAGAAAACTCTTACATTATTATATCACAATAATAATAATAACCTCTGTAGAACAATCTGTTTTTGTAAGCCATTTTAGTGCCTGAAAAAGATGGAAAAGGAAAACATTTTCTTCACTGGACTCTCCTGCCCTCTGCCCCATCATACGAACCAATCAATCGGTAGAGCCTTAATCCTATGCCATTTCCTAGCATAAGTTATTTCGATTTGTATAGCTTTTAGGTACTATATGTTCCACATGCCACACACCACAGACAGACCATACGCACACCATACCATATTCTCTGTGTTGATTTTTCCATTATTTTCGTGCCAGTTTGCCCGCCAGTGATCTTTTTTTCTTTTCGTTTCGTTTCGTTTCGTTAATGTTCCTTTCATTCCACACAAAAATACAAAACAAAACCCAGAAATCAGAGCCCGTAAACCGAGAAACTCTTGTGCTAAAGTCTAATTAAGTGCATAGTTTTTAGTGTTTGTTGGGGTCTAGAGCTGCCCCCGTGATTACAAAAAATAAACTGAATAAATAAACCAAATAAAAAAAACTATGATGTTTCAATGAAGGAAAGAAATAAAAGACTAGCTTCAGGGGCTAAAGGTCGAATGCTTTTTTGGTAGAAGCATAATATAGGCATCTGAATTGAATATTTTGTAGAGATTTAAATAAAAACATGAAACTATATCGCTTTGGTTAATTTTTCTATAGTAGATGTATGGTGTAGATGCATCTGGTTTTGTTCAAATACTATATTTTCCACCGATGTGTTCAGCTTACTTTAGTTCCAACGATTTTTGTGATAGATTTATAATAAATAATTCAAATTTTGATAGAATTTTATTGGATATGAATGCAAAACAAAAAACAAATATTTCGAGGGAAATTTCTTTAGTAATAATACTTTTTTGAGTAACCTTTGGCACGGAATTCTTAAAGCTTCCAATTTAAGAAGGATCTTGAGAGGGGTTCCTCTACATATCAACAAAAATGAGCCTCCAATTTGCTTAGAATTCAACAAAAGTACATCGCTCATCATCCTAAACCAGAATTACATACTCTATACGGTCATAAAAGGTCTCAACTGTGAATGCATTTTTCGCAATATTTACAGCGTTATACCCATGGGAGATATAATCCTAGAGGATTGCTACAACGATGCCGATGAAGAGTACGATTCAGAGGACTCCAATCAGGAGAACTACTATGCCAACGATTATCCCGATGATGAGGAAGCAGCCATGGGCTCTGATGACGATTTGGCCCGTGAAATGAACAAGTTTGTTTTCGGTAAGTGGCATATATTGAACAATCCTTAATGCTTAATAAGAGTCCTTCACTTTCTCTTCAGACGACGATGAAGATGAAGATGGAAATGTCACCTCAAGCGATTCGGAGGGCTATAACACCTATCATGATCCCTATATCCATTCAATTAACACCTCAAATGATAGCTTTGCGGATGATGTGGATTTCTGCAACACGGATCGCGAGCGTGGCAGTGCCTATGAGCGTTATAGGCGTCGCATTATGCGTGAGGTCGAGGAGGGCTTGAACCCCCGCAGTCAGCTTAGTCACGAGGACTTGGACTCCGATGCCGATGATGATGAGGATTCCTTTGCTAGTGCCGATGATAAATAAAATGCTTCAACTTGTTTTACATTGAAATATATCTTTAAAATTATGTTAAATTCAATTTTATTTGCCTTTAAATTTGTTTCTGTATTCCTTTTTCTCAGTCTTAACATCGCCCATCTGTGGCCTGGGCGCACAGCCCTCCATATAGAGTCGCAGTGTCTCCTCGTCCATCTTTTCGTTCTCCTTGGGCGGCTTGTAGTCCAGCACATGGTCCACGCGCAATGTCCGCTCCATGATTTTTATGCCATTCAGATTGTCCACGGCCAACACAGTGGAGCGCTGATCCTCGTAGCACAGGAAACAGAAGCCCTTGGATTTTCCCGTTTTCGAGTCGCGCACCAGATTGATGTTTACCACTTCTCCGTACTGCGAGAAGACGCAGATGATGTCGCCCTCGGAGAGGTTGTACGGGAAGCCGGCCACGAAGATCCAGGCCGAGTCGCGGTACATGTCGTGCCAGCTCTTCTTCCCCACCCCCTGTTTCAGGTCCTGCTCGCTGAGTTTTAGCACATTTTTCATATTTGTTAGGGGATTCATTTTGCTTTTCTAGCTATTAATGTAAATTAAAAATTAAATACAATTCAGTTTGTTTATGTTTTAGCAGTGTGACCGTATAAAAACAATCACACCATGCAATTAAATACTGAAATCAGAAGTCGATAAAAGGTTTTCTTAGCTGATTTCTAGCTCGATACACAAATTCAAAAATTCATTCCTTAAAATAAGCCAATCATCTAGGAAATTAAGTCATCATTCGCATACAACTATTTGTTCAGGGCTTAGCGTTCAAATTGATGAATATGTTAAACGCTTAACCCATTGTCGACCAGTGGGTATTAAAATACACCATGCGAAAATTAGGACACTAAGAATTTTAGCACAGTTCAGGTAAAAGAAATAGTGGTATTTTTGGAAATAAAGAGGAAGGATTGGATGGGTCTACAGTATTATTTTCCGTGGCTTAACTCTAGTTGTTTATCCGCCTAAGTGGTCTAAGTTCGTCTTTTCATCGGTATAGTTACGGTATATCTAAGAAACCTGACGCTGTCTCGGTATATTTCTGTGGGTCGGACGGTATATTCCATTGATTACTCCGCGGTCACACCGGGCCGCACATTTGTTGTCTTGTCGCGTTGCCGTTCGCAAACGGCGATCCGTTAAAGTCTTTTTGCTTCTTGCTCTTTGCCAGTCAAAGCCCTGATAAAATGTTGTAATATTACTCTTATTACACGACCAGTGTTTCATTCGACATAGCGAGAGGTGTGTAAAATTGTTCACTTTGCCCCCCGCCCCTACATAAGAGTGTCAAGCTAAAGAAGAAAGAGATATGCTGAAAAGCTGAAGAAGAAGAGGAAAGAAAAGTATCTCTTCTCTATTTAAAAATGTGTGTCAGTGTATTGTGCGGCGGCAGCAGAAAAAAAAGAGCATAAGCAGCAGCAGCAACAACAAGATATAATAAATAATAGCTCTAGCACCGTTTTGGCGACGACGTCTTCCCAAAGGGAGACCCCTGAAGAGGTCTTTTAATTGTGGCATTGTTTCCAGTATTTTTTCCCATCATCCAATTTCCAAGACGCGTTTTGTGCCAAATAACAGCAAATTATTCCCCGCTTTTTGACGGGATGATAGTGAAGTGTGTGTGAAAGAGTGTGTGGTGTGTGTGTCGGGAAAGGGCAAGTTGAAGTGTGTGCGTGTGGAAGGAGAGGACTAGCTCTGCTGCTGTCATCATCCATCCTGTATCTCCATTTCTCACCCATTGTTTAAGTGTGTTGTTTCGTTTCCCACGCATTATGCTCGCGCTTTGCTATTGGAATAGTTGGTATGTATGAAAATTTTCAGCGAAATTACTGTATTTAACTGTATTAAAGAGGGTAATTACATTTAATACAGTTTGGAGCCATATTTACCATCTTACGGCGTCGTTTTGTCGAATTGAAAGCATTATCAGGCACTCATATACTTATGATTACGCTTTATTCATGAGTGTCTGTGTATGAGCGTTTTTCACACTAAATTTTTGTCACCCTGCTGCTGCCTGCCGCCGCTCTCCTCTTACATACGCGCACACACACACACACACACACACCTGAGACAACTCCACCATATGCCTTGCGCCTAACTGTCCGCCGTGCCGTCTATCTGTCTTCTCTGTCTGTCTGTCATTCCACCCCATTTGCAGTGTATCTCTCTTACTCGCTGTGTGTTCAAGTATTTGTGTGTGTGTTTGTTTGCGTCTGCCGCCGCCTTTACGTGTTGTTGTTTTTGGTCAACAGAAAAAAAAGGAAATTTATTTTCTTGTTTTTAATGTTTAGGTGTGGTCGTGCTTTACACACATGTAACATGTACAAATGTATGTGTATTACATGGATCCCCACGGATTCAAGCGGAAGCAGGCATAAAAAAGTTTTGTGGTTGACATTGAACTCTCCATCTGTTTCTCTCTCGCTCGCTCTCTCTGTTGGAGGATATCCTCCTACCTCCCTCTCTCTCTCTCTCTAAGAGGATTTCTTTCCCTCTCGCCTTCTCAGTGAATATCCTTCTCCTTCTCTATTTCTCTTGCAGAGTGTCTTCTCCCTCCCTATCCTCGTACTGTACCTCCTTTCATTCCCTCTCTTCCTCTCTCTGTTTTCTTTCCCACTTCTTTCGCTAATGCCCCATACCCTCTTTCCACCCCTCTCTGTTGACTGACTTTGCCGTTACTTTCCAAAAAAAAGCCGCTCCTGGCCGGGCCTTTCATTTTTTTCGCTCGCTTTTCGGCCACATTTACTTTTTCCTTATACCCTTTTTGGCACCGCAAAGAGTTTCGGTGAAAGGAGGCAATTGGATAATGATTGGGAAAATATCCTAAAGATCAGTACAATTAGTGCAGATCTATCTTCCCTTATGGGTAGATCTTTTGCTTCTCTATTTAGGGGATTCTATTAAATATGTCTTATTCCTATAGCACCTGTCCATCAACCCCCAAGTTTATCATATCTGAAGATTTCTTTGCTATGCATCCTATGAGAGCATTTTCACTTCGCGTTGACTCATTTTTCTATGGCGGTGCGGGAATGTGCGGGGCCAAGCTTTCACGTTTATTATTACGATGTCTGATATTCGTACATAAGTACATACATACTACATAAATATACATACTCGTACATATGTACATGTACATCATACGAAGAGTACATATGTATAAGCCATACTGTTATTATTATGTGGCTCACGTCTTTGGGAAAAAAGATTCGCGCTGCGACTGCGCACGATTATGGCACATTTCATAGCCCGTGTTGCCCCCCGCCCGCGCTCTGCTGCCTCTGTGGGGCTCTGCCCCAACGATGACGAGAGCAAAGTTGACTACTGCCTGTTGCAGAAAAAACGTGTCAAGTTGGCCAGATATATCTACTACCATCCTCCATATATACTACACATCATTCATATATGGTAGTCGCTGTGCAAGAGCATAACCATAGAGAGAGAGAAGAGTGAGACGAGTGCCGGAGAGCCGTCTGTCTGGGAGCTTCTGAGCTTCGATTAATTTCGTTGCGCCTCGGTAGCTGTGCACTCAACTCAAACATCCGCTCTGCAGCGCCGCTGCAGGGTACCAGAGCGTTTACCTCGTCGCAGCGGGGACCTAACCTTATTACACATTATACTACATTTACCCACTGCCCACATCTGCCACACTGCCCCCCGTGTGTGCCCCCCATGCCACTGCTCCATCGTCAGGCATCGTATAACATCGTATCTCCCAATATCACAATACCAGAAACCCCTTTCTCTAGGGTTACATTTGCATGGCCTGGCAGGGAGCATCTGGTTTGGTTTTTTGGAAGCGGCATTGCACTACACTAGACAGCAGGGGTTGCACTACACACTAGACTGCAGCCAGGGGGTTGAAATGTGAGTCCACATTCCAGTTTTACGATAACCGGAACCCCTAATCGTATGCAGGGCTTGTATTCCATTGGTAAGTGATCTTATTGGAATGTAAAAATGGCGGGAAATATTCAGGAAATACTTAAACAATGGGAGAAAATGGTAGGACAATGGGAATTCCATATGAAACGAGTTTATGTCACATTAATGTTACTTTTCTGACTGTAAAATTGATCCGATTTGAATGATTTGTTGGTTCTCCGATAGACAATAGCTTTATATTTGCGAAACAGAGCACCCATATCAAGATCCAATCGTATTACAGGTACGAAAATCCACTGATCTTAAGATATTATAATATTATCTAGAGCTGTTGCATGACTTTGCAGGTTTTGTGTAATTTTTGGTTCAAAAAAAGTACTTTTGCATATCACTTAGAGTTAATTATAATGTTTTTTTGCAGACTGTCTGTTGCACACTTAATTATTGCTCCCAACTTTTGTTGTCCAGTGTCTGACCCCTCCTCATGAGTTAACAAAAACACCACCCAACAAAAGCAACAAAGAAATGGCAAAAAATAAACAGCAACAAAAAAACTGCTGCTTTCCCCTCTACTCTTTTTCTCTGCCTTTCGTTGCTCTGTCGTTTCCCTCCTTTTATTTCTCTCTGTCTCTCGCTGTCTCTGTTTTGTTTCTCTCTCGTTTCGCCTGTTGTCTCTTATGACCGCTTACACCTGTTTATTCCGTAGGCGAATCGGAATCCCAGGCTGACGCCGACGCCGCCGCCGCCACCGTCGTCTCATGTTCGCATTTAGTTTTTGTTATTTTTTGCTTACATGAAAATGTTACAACAAAAAATTCTTTTTAAATTCGCTCCATATTTGGCTACTGACGCGCCCCCCAGTACCAGTGGGTTTATTGTTGTTTGGAGCTGGGGGAGGGGAGGAGGCAACGCATGCCAAGCCCACACAACACTTTAAGAATTTTTTGGCTTCGGCTTTGCCTTTGACTGGGACTCTAATTTGTTGTACCCTTCCCCAAAGAGAGGGTATGGCTCTTACGACGAGATGTGTTCAGGGAAGAGAAGAAAAAGGAAAGGGTTTGCACATAATCTATAGATTCTTGATCATTAGGAACAAAACCAACATTAGAAACCACAACGAATAGATTTGGGAACATTTCGGAATGGATTTGTTTGGTTATAAATAGAATTTACGCAAAGAAAACTTCATTGTTTATTAAATTGTTTGTTTAGCTAAGCTAAGTTTGATTTATCTTCAAGGTATGCCCACCTTCAACCATCCATTGATAGCCCTATTCTAAAGATATTCCTTTCAAGATTATCCTGCAGTTTAAAAGGATTTTTCAAAGTTCTTCCAAGATCTATACCACAAGAATCTATACCACAAGAATCTATACCACAAGAATCTATACCACAAGACATTGGCCCTTAAAGGGTATCCCTAGCTTCGGTTATCAATGATAGGCCCTCTTCCCTCCTGTGCTGCCTGGTTTCTGTTGGGGGTTTTCGTTTCATATACGCATATCAAATAATTGAGCTCAATTGATTTCAATTAAAACTGACAACTGGGCTGATGATTTCGTTGTGGTTGCTGTTGTTGTTGTTCCGATGGTCGTTAGTGCCAACTCATATGAAACAAAAACCATCAAAATGCCCCTCAAATGTTGGATTCGATGTATGTACTACTGTCTGTCTGCGTGGGGCTCGGTGCTCTTCGTGTTTCGTGCTTGATGGACTGCATCGAATGGGGAATGCACTGATGGGATTGTACCTCATTCCTCATTGGAAATTATATAAAAAGAAAAAGGGTAAAGAGGGAAAATGCATGCATCAAAAGAAAATAGATTCATCCAAAGGGAAATTATTCAATTGGAATTCATGGAAATTCTCTACTTTTGAGTAAAAAGATTCATAAATCCTTGAAAACCTAAACGATCTATCTCTCTTCCAAAAATTCTTGTTTTGTTTTCCCAAACCGGAATCCCATTTTTGGCAATGTTTGCCTTATTTTTAATCCGATTGTTATTTAAAACTGTTAGATCGCATAGACACGACTGTTTATAGAGTGTTGAAGCCCATATATCTAGATAATTTGTATTGTTATTGATTTGCGGGGGCCATCTACGGGGAGAGTCGTCTACAGTACCATATAAGGAAACACCTTCTTAAAATTTACGAGATCTACATACGAGATATCATACAGACATCAAACACCGACTCGGTGTATACCTCTTGAATAATAATTGCATGAAATTATAGATCTTATTATTCTACATTCCATTCAAATCGCGTCGATGATTCATGAGGTAAATTATACACGTGTTTCGATGATGAAAACAGTAAAAAAAAAGAACATTCCGTATTGTGTGTCACACGTTAATGAATCATGGAAAAACAGGGGAAAACAAATATCGGTTTCACTTTCACTCTTATCTCTGAAAATAGATAAAATCGAGATATGCTAAAAAAAAGTACCCAGGATTTTTCAGGGGTTTCAGAAGGTACTTTTACTTTTTATGGCTGCTCTGGAGAGTACTTTTGTTTCTATGGATTGCACAGAACAGTCCTCATTCTCTTCATATCAGAGGGTTTTTCTTCCACCCTACCTTTTCGTTCTATGGCTTCCAGGAGGAACTTTTATTCTACATTCTTTGAAGTTTCCCATTTATAGGGATTTTCCTATGGGTTTTCTATAGCATATTCCTATTTATATAAATGAAAATCCCATCTAGCAAACTGAATGCTTGATCACAAAAGTCTCTTATCAGTCACTCAGGAATTCATTCATCCAAGATCAACATTTAAATATAACACATATATGTACTTCTAGATTAATGGATCAAAATGTGTGCTTTATACAGTAAACTAATGACTCGTTTTATCAGAAATAATTACAGTAAAAGAAAACTAAATTTTTTGATCATTTATAAGCCA